TAGTCAGCGATACATGCTGGGATGTAGTTATGTAAGTTAGGGATCCGTCTTAAGGGTCCCTTTTTAGAAGGGTGCCATAGTGTTTTTGGCGACTTAAAGCGGGACTCGAATTTGGAGAACTACTTATAGAGGCTTTAACAGGGTCTTACAAGGGGTTTATGGGAGCTATTGGGGTTTAACGACTGGGTTTAATAGGCGTTTGAGTAGGCTTAGAAACCCTAGACTCTCGAGGCTTCGCCCTCAAACGATAAGCAATAAATCTTGCAGCCTGAACCTTAAACCCTAAACCCTAAACCCTAAACCCTAAACCCTAAACCCTAAGCCCTAAGCCCTAAGCCCTAAACCCTAAACCCTAAACCCTAAACCTAGAAGCCTCAATGGCACCGTGATGGAATGCCTCCACTGGCAGGCAGACCGGGAACTTCCCCAGGTGAGGAGGGCACGCGTCTTGGTCATGGAGTAGTAGTAGGGAGTAGTAGTAGTAGTAGTAGTAGTAGTAGTAGTAGTAGTAGTAGTAGTGGTAGTAGTAATAGTAGTAGTAGTAGTAGTAGTAGTAGTAGTAGTAGTTGTAGTATGCAAAGTAGTAGTAGTAGTAGTAGTAGTAGTAGTAGTAGTAGTAACCCGCCCGGTGCGACGCCCGGACCTATCATTTTTCAGACTTCTTGTCGTCAAAAATGCTGTGTTTTGCAGTAGTTGTTTTCTTTTGTCGTTGTTGAAATTGTTGGAAAGCGTGTGGGTTTTTGCTAATGTTGTGTCGTTATTTTAAGGTTGCTGTTCATGCTGGCAGCAAAACATGCTGGTATTTAAAGCGCTTCTCTTTGAGATTTTCTGTGTTTTTTTCATTTTTTCTGTGTTTGGCAGTTTGCATTAAGGTGCCCAAAGTTTAGCGTTCAGAATGGATCTTGTTGTTATCTAATCTGGGTGGCCTTCATGGCATCCATGCCCAAAACCTAGTAATAGTAGTAATAGTAGTAATGGTAGGTAGTAATAGCCAGTAGTAACAGTAGTAATAGAGGATCAAGTTGAAGTTCGGCCCAACTGGTGCTTTCCCCCTTGGTACTTGTAAGCCGGCTACTACTTCTTGTCGCAGTTGGCGGTAGTGTTGATGGTGGTGTGGTAGAAGAACAACGCGGCGGCAATCGTAGAACTAGTCGTGACGGCGGTGGTGGTCGTTGTCATGGTAGTAGGCGTTGTCGTAGTAGTGGTCGTGTTGGTCCTGATGTTGCGTGATCGTCGTTGTGGCCATCGTTGTCCTCGGAAGGGGATCCCGGCAGATGCAGTATGTCGTCTTCAACCTCAGCCTGAGTTTGCCCGAGGTCGCAGAGTTGGCTGGCCGAGGTGTTGGGATCCACCACGGTGGGCGGCATGGCGGCACCTTCAGGTTCTAACCCGGTGCTTTGCAGTTGACCTTGTTGTTTTTACTAGTATAGGGGTTGCTGCCATCGTTTGACACCGTTAGCGAGGTAAGGACCTTTGGCTGGGGGTATCCTCGTACTGATCATCGTCGTCATTGTTCGTGGATTAAACACAAACAGCTCTAGTTTGACAAGCCACCGGTGTACCGTTTTTCTTGAACTCTCCGCTCTGAGGCTTCTGCCCGTGGTGAAAGAGGCTTGGGGCTCAGGTTGAGTTCATGCGCACATGACGAGGCACTGCCACTGCTGCTGGTACTTGCTACGTGAATCCTAAACCCCGAACCCTAGAAATCGTCATGGTAAGAGCCGCAGTAGGGAGCACCCAACCCGAGACCGAATCCGGCCAAGGCGGTCGAGCTCCTGTTCTCACGTTCGCTTGTGCCGACCCTCCCTGTTTCTGTTGTGAGATTTCGGCGCTTTTCAGCACGGGTGCAGTATTCCACGGACCGACTCATCTTCTCCACCGCGGGGCTTTTCGGAGTGAAGCAGTTTCGTACCGTAGTGCTAGAGCGAGACGGTGCATGTATCAGTTCTACAGGTCACCACGCAGTTGGAGATCCGGGGCTGCCTATAGCAGAAAACTGCCCAGGGCAGGGTTGCGTAGCTGCGGTGTGCTCGTTTTTTGCAAGTCCCTGCTGCAGCTATCTTCACCGAGATTGACCGGTGGCGAAACACTTGAGACAAACGCTGTGGAAAGAAATGTCAAAGCCTGAAACCACAGATAGCACGCAGAGCTTGCATTCTCAAGAGCGTGGGGCCGCGACGCGGTGTCCAAGGCCTGTGCAGAGCCATGGGCAGCGCTCAAGCCTCGCTGTGCTGTTGGGAGCGCCAAAAGCTCCCGGTGGGTTTCCAGCCTCGACCGCCTCCCGCTCCACCCCAAGCCAACGAGCCCTCTCCAAGCGCAGCTACGTTGGGCGGAGGTGAAGACGACGAGCAGGTGGAACTGCAGCTGTGCACAAAAAATACGTTCATTGAATATCGCGAAGTGGCTCGGAGCCAAAAGCGAAGCCACAGCATGCCAAGGGACTTTCGACCGTGCAGAGGCGTGAAGACAGTCAAGGCAGCACCATTACCCAGCAACACGGAGGAGAACGCTGTCGACAAAGGGCAAACTGCTGGTTTTTCTCCCATGGATGATGCTTTTGAGCCCTTTCTCACTCCCGAGATGGTGGCGACTGACCGTATCTGGAGGCGCGAGGTGATTGGGCGGCTGGCGTGGCGCAAAGTGCCTGTCAGGCCTCATTCCTGCAGAAATTCGTGCCCAGCTTGTTGCCAGCTGAACAATAACAACTGGCGACTAGCAGCCTGCGATCCGGTACGGATCCCAGGGCACTCTAATCCCTGCAAAACTCTAGAAATCCTTCCGAAGCTGCCCGAGCGTGCGCTGTTGCTTTCGCAATGAAACTCAGCCCATGCCGGGTGTTGCAGGAAATGCATGGCTGCAGACTGCAAGCGACTGTTCCTTGTGTATTCTATTGATTCTACTGCTGTGACATCGCGTTCTCTTTTCTGTGACAGTCTCACTTGCGCAGCACAGCATTTCCCACCTGCATCTGTTTCACATAGCATGTGCTTCACATTGCATCTGTTTCAAACGGCATCCCTTTGGAGCTTCGCATTCTTCAGATTGCTGTCTAACACAATATGATGTGAAAACATCACATCCCACGGTCAGAGGCTTCCGATGTCCTTGCGCGTAATCGTGCACGCTTGCTCTTGACCTGCCAGGAAGATCCTCATTGCCACCGAGACCTTCGCCATGGGAGTGAACATGCCGGCACGGAGTGTAATCTTCACGGCCTGGGCCGCTCGTCGAAGCGTCAAGTGTCTTGAAAGAGCAGAAGGGGCCATGATCGTAGTTGTCGTGGTTGTTTTTCGGGTGGGGGCAGCAGTGCAGTAGCAGTAGTAAGGTGAAGCACGATGGCCCTCAGCGGCGAGCTTTGCTGCCATCGGAGTACACCCAGATGGCTGGCCGGGCTGGAAGACGAGGCTCGAGAGATCCGGGGAGAACTGAAGCTGACACTATGTGACTGGACCCCAAGCCTAAACTCGTGTCTCTCCCGGAGCAAAGATGTAAGATGCAGGTTTGGACTCCGAGGGCCACGTCTTCTTGCTTTGTGGCGATGAGGTTCCCGACCAGAAGCAGATCACTCGGATGATGACCAGCAAGGCTCGACCTTCCACACGCCCAAGTCCCGGCACGCAGTCCAAGCCACCTTCACTTGGAAGGCGGAGCCGCTAGCATCGCGCTTTCGCGTGACTTTTGCGATGATCCTGCAGATGAGACCTGGCCCAAACCGCCTCCCAGACCTGACAAGATCTGTTCACTCCAGCCATGATTATAAGGATTACGGCGACCCCTAAGGAAGCGCTTCGCGGAGACCGGGGTGCGCGTGGAGGACCTGTTGGGGCAATCCTTCCTGGAGAATGCCCGGGCCTGCAGGAGGCGCTCCGTGCCGAAAACGGCAGCCTTCATTTCAGCTATTTTTTTAGAAAATTGCAGTCTAGCAATGACAAGATAGGGACCCCAAAACCCTGAAACCTGGCCTAACAAGCCATGTTTGAAAATGCCCTGAGCAAGGCCCGAGGCGAGGCGGCACTTGAAAGATCGCATGCTACAGCTGGAGGCACGGTTTAGGCTTGAGGGGTTTAGAAGTTTCGGGTTCATTTTTTTATGGGTTTTCAGAAGTATCCCCGATCACGGGATTTTGGGATAGGTGGTAGGCTCCTTCATCGTGTTATCTTCTTGGCCTTTGGGTGTTCCTTTTCCTTGCAAGGCGCTGCCAGCGGTGCAGTGCATCCTCGGTGAGCCAGACATCCAGGAGCAGCTAAACGCCAGATTCCCCTCAACCCCGAAGCCTCAAGCCCCAAACTCTACACGCCAAGCCTTGAAGCCCCAAAGTCTGCAGTCACAACGGGCATGACGCCTTGATTCCAAGCCGAAGCCTCCAGGACTACGCAGCCTTCGAAGACGAGGCGAGGCTCTTGGGGACTCAGCGAGGGCCTCGGGGAAGTTTCGGTCTGAATATTTCACTGTGAGCTGCAGCACCGAGAACACGAATGCATAGCAACAGTGACAGCAGTATTCCTAGCAAATCTCATGTTTGGTAGTATGAGTAAAAAGCTATATGTGGTTTATGATTCCTATGTGCCTCCTGTTATCATTAAATGCTCGGAGTGAAATGGCTGCTCTGACATCCTTTCGCTGGAGCACTCCACTGGACCGGACAAATGCCTTTGTTTCCTGGTCACTCCGCAAAAGGGGGACTTCCTTGGGTTCCTGGCTATACCTAGGTAGAACTTTTCTGGAAATCCTCTTCTAGTTTTTCGGGAAGTTAGGGGTTTTGGGCATACTGGCTGCATCGACGCGGGAATGAAAGCCGCTGGGTTTGCTTGAGATCGTCCGTGATCAGCTCTTTAGCTTGTCTTGCCTTTAGCTCGTGTGCTGCTGGTGGCGGGCAAGCTCGAAGTGTTTCTCCGTGCGTTGAGACTCCGGAGAACAACAACTCATGGACCTTCAGCCTGCTTCTGTTGCTTGCTGTCTGCTGGTGCAATATCATCTTCCACAGTGGCAGATCTCTCATGTGCCCGTGCCGTCAAGAGAGAAAGCAGAGGTTGCACATGCGCCTGTACGACTCCAAGTCTCGAGACCGCATTTTCTGCCCAGGGCGCGGATCTAAGCATCTTCAGCCCATCTTGTCTCCCGCCTCCGTGTCGCAGGCATGAAGCACCATACTGTATTATTAGTAGTATATCCTCTTGTATTATACCATATTATATTATATAAAAAATATTATACTATACTATATTATATTGTATTATATTATATTATATTATATTATATTATATTATATTATATTATATTATATTATATTATATTATATTATATTATGTTATGTTATGTTA